CTTTTCCATTTTGCATTTACTTGTACTTTTACTTTCAATACTTAAGTACGTTTAAGATTAAAAAAAAATATATTAAAAAAACTTTTCGTACTTAAGTACAATAAATATCACATACTTTAAGACTTGTACTCAAGTAATATTCTGAACGGTGACTTCAACTTCAACAAGAAAGTCATTTTCTGGTAAGATATCTGTACTTTTACAAGCACTTTGAGTGTCTTGTTCATCATATTTATTTTCATAAAAGCAACAGAACTGAAATTATATCACGTTTATTAGCAGCACAGCACATGAGTGAGAATAACGCGATATCTGGCTTTGATCTCGTTGGTATCTGCTCCACTTCCAGAGGTCAGAACTGTCCGTCTTGACTGCGCTTATTTCACTCCTCCCCTCACTGCAGCGCCTACTCTCGCCTACATTTCAGGCGAGGCGAGGCGAGGCGCATCTCAAACAAGCCTAATGTGGTAAGTGTTGTTGTAATGATGTGCGATCTGACATTATCAAGTTGGCTAGGCTATATCACCAAATCGCACACCGAGTGCACGCACGTGATTTATTAGTCTATTAAAACTCAAAATTCCAGGAATTCTAAATTATAGACTGCAAAAAATGCCTCGGTATGCTTTTTATATTTATATAATTTAATATAGTTAACTTAATCATGCAGATTCCAGAAATGTTTTCTTATGTTGGAATGAAAGACACTAAGTACCGGATGAAGTGCTTCTTATTCTTACCCAAAAATACAATGGAAGAAAGAGTTCAAACTAAACACAATCTTGCTACTCAAGCTGTGTATGAACATTTTTATATATATGTATTTGCTTCTTTTCCATTTTGCATTTACTTGTACTTTTACTTTCAATACTTAAGTACGTTTAAGATTAAAAAAAAATATATTAAAAAAACTTTTCGTACTTAAGTACAATAAATATCACATACTTTAAGACTTGTACTCAAGTAATATTCTGAACGGTGACTTCAACTTCAACAAGAAAGTCATTTTCTGGTAAGATATCTGTACTTTTACTTGAGTATGGCTTTCAGGTACGTCATACACCACTGCCTATATGCCTATGCACTTACTAACCTCACCGAAATTTGACCCCAACAGAGGTGTATTCGGGGTCATATGTGTATCGTGTATGCTTACATTTTCCCTTTTCCTATACCCTCATATACTTGTTTTGCTGCTTCAGAAGTCCATAATCTACATTTATCATGTTAGCTTCCCCTTTAACAGCATCCTCCTAACTAGATTCTTTGTTGTAATTGGTACATTGTCACAAGAATTCTACCATTCCCTGCCCCTGACAACCATAGTCACCACTGTCATCAATTGAGGGAAGACAGTGCAGTGAGTGGACTAGACACTTTAATTGTTATAGCCACTGTTAAACCCTAAGATTCCATCAACACTGAAGACCTGTTGTTGTTTTTTTCAAACCTAATTTTAAGTTTACAGGAGCACCTTCCTTTTGAGGAAACTCTCAAAAATGTAAGTTTTCTTTACAGAAGCAGGTGGCCATTGGAGCTTAGTAGCCTATATAGTGAAGCAGAGATTTGTAGGCTCTGTACATGTTTCAGTTTATGCTCTGCCCAGGCCATTAGGCGAATGCGAGACTTAATTGAATCTCCTCATACTGAGTGCCAAGATTTGAAATCCCTCAGGAACTCTATGCAGACCTTTCCTGTCAGACAGCGGAATGCAGGAAGGCGTTTAGTCTTATAAATATCAATGTCTGAAAGGTTTGCAGGTCTTGTTCTAAATGTTACAAGTTTAACAATTATCAACTTTAATGGTCCACCAGTTTCACTGTTCAACCTAGTGTATGTGGGTAAAAGTAAATGGGTAAAAATAAGATATTATCACACTGCAAATAACCCACAGTCACAACAGTGTAAATCATACCGGCATACTATACATACTATAACTGAACAATACAGACATTAATGTACAAGTTAGTATGTTTTTATAAGTATGTTTTATAGTGCTGGTAAGAAGCTGATATAAGTGTTTGTTAAAATGGATTGCATAAAATTGATTTTTTTATTAAATCTCATTTACTGATAATAACCAAATACACATACACACAGACAAACAATGACTTATTTTCTGTCATTTAGCATAAATGAGGGTGCTTCAAGGGATTCAGCAATGGTAAAAGTATACCACATTTTTAGGACTGTATTAATTTAACCTACACTGTAAAAAAAAAGAAAAAAAAAAAGGGCAGTTGTGGTTGCCAGACCTGTATCGTAAAAAATATGGTAACAACATTTTAGGTTTTACAGACTTAACTTAAATTCACAGTAAAAAAAACCTATATTTCATTAACTGATATAATTTTAATATACCAACCTATTGAAGTACTAATCTGTTTTGTAACGTTGTAATTCACGGACATCCACTAAAAACAGGTGGTGATGAGAAAATCACATGAAGAATCATAGCTCATCACAAACACAAAGCTTTTGCAATTCAATATTTAAAAAAATAAAAAATTAACATTGTGCTCTAGCAACATTACAAAACCTATAATACAGGTAGAAGTATATGACTTATTATTTTGACAGTAAACATAAAAAATTGGCAAAGATCAATGTAATTTCATACTGTACAACAGTGAAAGTGGCATGACTTGTAGCCAAGTATGGTAACCCTCTCTGCATTTAAGCTATCCAAGTGCAC